GCTGTCAAGCTGAAGAAGGAGTCCTATGGAGCCTGGCTGGTTTGTGGGACTCCTCAAGCAACCAGCTGGTCAAGCCTGCTTTTGCACGGGCTCTGGGGACGTGGATTGTAATTTTGCAGACGCAAAAAATCTAAGTGATTCTGGCAAACCGTCTGGTTCCTCTGGAGGGGAAAGCAGTGCTGTGCTTATTATATATATATATATATATATATTGTGTAGAACCAAAAGTGAATTCTAACAGCAACAATGTACAAATATCTGTGTGATTTTTTTGGAAAATATGGATGTTGTTCATCATCCTGTTGGCTCATTTTGATCAGTATGAGATTTACCATAAGATGTTTTTGCCGTTTATCAGTTCCCAGCCTCCAAGTGCACATTGGTACCTCTCTGCCCCCACCCCCCATGAACGTTTTCCACTCTGATCAGCATCTAACAGAAATCTTCTAACAGTCCTACAGATCTTTGGGAGGTCCCCTCTCTGTACATAAACACTTTTATGTAGGATCTTATATTGGGTTTGGCAAAAATCTTGCAGTATTTTTTAGGCCAAATGACTGCTGCTAAACAAAGCAAATTCTCTACACTTGATTTCTGTAGGTCTGTAAATGACTTTGGATGAGTTTAGTCATTCAAAATGTTAATGGATTGCTCCCTGGGCGCCGCACAGTGGCAGCCCACTGCTCCCCAAGGGGATGGGTTAGGATATACAGAGTGAATTTCTCCATTGTGAGATTAAAAAAGTGAAATTATTATTATTAATTTGTCTATAACTGGGACCATCACATTCAAGAACAGGTCTTACAGAGGATTCCAGTTAGATCCATGAGAGCAGGAAGAAGCTGAGCCCTTCTGGCATTCCAAAGGGGTGGACGTTTCAATTTGGATGGTTTTTAATCAAAAACAAGGTTGGGCTACTGTATAAAGCCTGGAGCTATTCCTGACATTTTGAATTGAAAAATCTTCCTGGATGGGAGGAGAAACGTCTTCAAACTTGGAAAGAAAGTCCAGTGGATTGTTGATTTTATTTTTTACTTTTATTGAATGACTATGACCTGGATGAATGAGAATCTTCAACAGCATATAAAATAGTTGCAAATTTGTCTGGTAAATCTCTCCCTGATGGAAACAGACAGCAGTTATCTCTGGTTGACTTTCTGGTGGCTTCATCAAACTAGCAGTGTGACTTCTGGGCTTCAGTTGATAGAAAAGCTTTAAGTCTTCCCGTATATTCACATGAGTTCTCAAGCTGACCAGGCGATCAACTGAAACGTGAAATTCAATTTGCTTAGGAGTTGTAAAAGGAAGCACATGATTTGGTCACAGGGCAGTGTTATTCAAAGGTACTGAAAGAAACCTTTTAGACCAGTTCCAGAAAGATAAAAATCCGCTGAGATTATAATTAACCCACCTCACTGTCAAATGAAGCTCCATTTGATAGCTGCAGAACGGCTGAGCAGCCCTGATGACCTGCTGCAGGGCTCCTGGCTTTTTTCTAAAGATGGTGTCCAGCCCAGGTCCTCTGATAGTGCAGGCTCAGAAACTTGACCCTGATCCAAGTCAGTTGCTAGGCCTAAGAGCAGCATGGACCTCCTCCTTGACTTGTTGTGTCGGGGTTTAATTTCCACCTCTAATGAATTAGTTACAGTGATTTTTTTCACGTCCTTCCCCTTTCTTTCTTCAAAGCTTCTGAATGTGAGATCTTGTTATTGTCACTCATGGAACTTAGAGCTCATTTTCTAACTGCAAGTGGCAGACAGCTCATGCTCTCTAACCACCATGACTGGCGTCATGTCCCCTTGGACTCACATTTAAGTCTCTCAGTAATGTGCTGAAAACACTCTGTCAAAGCTCCTCTTCTAATTTCTTTGTTCCAGGGATGTTGCTCTTTGTTGTTCTTTAATCGTGACAACAGCCGGTAAAATATGTATTGAACACGGCACCATTTTTCTCAGTAAATGAATTTCTAGAGGTGCTATTCATTTTCAGCAGATAACAATCCATGAAATTCACACATACAAAGAAGTCAAACCATAGATTTCCAGAAACTAAGTTATGTGTAATAAAGTGGAATGATACAGGGAAAAAGTATTGGACACCATTACTGAAACGCATTTAATACTTTGTACAAAAGCCTTTGTTGGCAATGACAGCTTCAAGACGCCTCCCAGTATGGAGAAATTAAATTGGCTGGGCCATTCTAGCTGCTTTATTTTCTTTATTTCCAATGCAGAGTTTTCATAGCTGTGTGTTTTGGCTCATTGTCTTGCTGAAATGTGCGACCACATTTCATCTTCATCATCCTGGTAGATGGCAGCAGATTTTTTTATCAAGAATGTCTCTGTTCGTTTTTCATTCATCCTTCCTTCAATTATTAGCATACAAACATATTTTACCTATGTGTTGCTTATAAATCTTATGGACTGGATTTTGCCCATTTCCGCATTTGGCACCGGTGGCATTTGTTTCCTAGGAAACGGACATGGAGGGCTGCTAAATGTTTTATCTGCGCTTTCTATCCATTTCTCTGAAAATGTTTAGGTTGTTCCTTCAAACGTGTGCATTCAGTTTAAAATGCATATTTATATTGTCAGCTTTAATTTCTTCCTTTGCTGCCTCATCAGATCTTCTTTCCTTTTTTTCGATCTTCTTTTCTTCAGATATTCCCACCTGTGCTAGATTCACGTGTCTTACCTGTTTTAATGCTGTAATGATGATGATAAACCCCCATAGATAATAATATTTTCTGAGTTTACGCTTCCTGACCTTTCCAGTGCCAGTCCCACTGCACACAGTTCTACCACTTTGGCAGACTATTTAAGGCTCTTTTTATAAACCTAATATAAATTTCAAAACCACAGCTGCAGCATCAATTCCTTTTCAATTTGGATTTTTCAAAAATACAAAATAAGGTTTTGAAGTCTGTAAAAATGTGATTGTAAAGCTCTTGGTAAATATCCGTAGTTTTGTTTCTGTCTTAAAACCTGATAAACAAATCTACTGTTTCGTATCCAAAAGTCCTTATTAGTCTAAAACGTTTGCAGCCTTTCCACCCAAACTCATTCTGTAGATCAACTTCCATTAATCCAATATTTAAACACTACTATTTTCAATTAGATCCACCTAGGTATTTTTTTCTGAATCAACTTGTAGAGCACAAAATGTTGTTTTCTTTTCACTGCTCCTAATTCAATTTCTAGAGCCTTATTTAAAATGTATGCAGAAATACATTAAAGCAAACAGAGCTCTGACACTCAAACTCTGTTTGCTTTAATGTTATCATCACTGCTGCTGATTTTGTAGTGGAATCTATAACAAACTCTTCTTTATAAATAAGTCTAAAATGTATGGCATCCTCAAAATCAAACTGATAGTAGTATTAGTAAGGCCACAAAAGGAAGTCATAAAAAGAGTAAATCAGTTCAAATCCTGACCTCCAAAAATGTATATGCAACTTTCAGTGTTTAAACTGACTGTATCACAGTTATCCATAAAGGGGTAAACATTTTGGCTGTTCAAGGGATTTCTAACCTAACTTAAATGTAAATTAGAATAGAGCTTAATACACCATGGGCCCCTTTTCAGCAAAACCTGACCAAGAATTTTCTTCAATATCAGGACAGAGACGGTTGGTTTGCTAATCAAGTGTGTGAGCAGAGAAAGCTTAAACAGCGATGAACTTTTTGAAGAGTTTCAGTCTGGCTTTAGAGCTCATCATAGCACTGAAACAGCTCTGGTGAAAGTCACTAATGATATTCTCATGGCCTCAGATAATGGAAATGTATCTGTGCTCGTCCTGTTGGATCTCAGTGCTGCATTTGATCCAGCTGATCATAATATTCTTTTAGAAAGTGAGAGTTTAGAACTTGAATAGTAGGAATTAAAGGCACAGGTTTACTTTCAAGCTTTCTCAGTGGAGCAGTGGGTAGCACTGCTGCCTTGCAGCAAGAAGGTTCTAGGTTTGATTCCTG